ACCAGGGAGCAGCAGCCTCTTTACAGGGCCTCCGCGAAATATTATAAAAGCTTCAATCTGATAGAATGTGCAGTGATTTACAGGCTTATCCATCACATTAATTATTAAATATTAATTTAATGTTAATAAAGTAAAAAAAATAATGAAGATACACGAGTATTAATTTTTATCTTTTTCTTACGAATAGTCATACTTAGGGTAGGGCGCAATGGAAAAAATTTAATTGAAAAAGGGCGCCGCGACTAGGAAAAGTTTGGGAACCACTGGCATAATCCATTGCTTCATAATAGTTATGTTCCTAGAGTATCACATTTAGTTACCATTTATTTCACTTTTTATTGCTTTTGTTTTATATTTTGGTACCAGTTTGCCTTTTATATATCATACCATATCATATAATTTTACATAGAGCTATCCTTTAAATATCCGCTTCTGACCTTATTTATTTCATACTGAATTCCCTACCGTATTTTTATGTAAAGGATCATTTGTGCTTTTTATCTATTCGCCATTTATTCTTCTGTGCAACTTTATTGTAAATTTTAGCTTCATTGTCTTATCTTTAAAAATGGCTTAGTATTTAAAACTGTTACTATCATTACGACTGCCATAGCAGTCATTTTCGTTTATAAGTAAGTTTTTGAGAATTCCAGTTTATATTATTTAACTGCCGTATTTACTCTATTTCGTTTAAGATGATAAAGGACTTTCATTTGCATTTTAACACAGTGATATACGTGGCCACACGTTTCCGCCGAATTTCACTTAGTTTTGCTTTCCAAAAGGTATTCTCATCCAGACTGGAGTTGACTACAGTTTCGATCTCGCATGGATCTTAGCACTCCCAGGGGGACTCGAACCTGGGTAATTCAGCGTATGGTCTCGATACGCCAGTCTGCCACAAGTGGCCTTGGATCACAGGGCAGAAGTGAATTTCAAGGAGGCCATATCACATTTATGTGGTGGGGTTGTTGATTAAGCAAAATTGTGTTTAGCTCTATTACAATCAATTACATTTATTTGAGTCAATTAAGCGTTCTACATTCGGTAAAATATGTTATTATATCCGTAAAATATATAAAAATTTTGGCATTAATTAAATATGTTTAAGTGTCTCATTAAAATTATTTATATTTATAGACGTGCGATCATATTGGCTAATCAAATGAATCGATGCGCTGGTTGTGGCGTTTTCATAGAATCAAGTAAGCCTACTTTTAGACAAATGAAGAAAAAATAAGTTTTCCTTACCATTTCTATGCTTACTTTTATTTTCCCAACTTATTCTTTGCTGATAGCAACAATGATAAGTGAGACATAAAAATAAGTCTGCTTTTTAAGAGATGAGGTTAGTTAACAGAAATATTGAGCTATATGATCTCATTTTCGCAACTTGCTGTGTGATCTAGATGCACACATCATGTTCAGGGTCCTCTGCCACAGCGGTCTTGATGATTCTCACCATCGGACCGTTTACTTAAGGCATTTCGTCGGCATATTCTGCACCAAACTATAACTCACCAAGCGACAAGTGAAATCCAATCCTTGGCTAACCTTCTGCGGAGCTTTTTTTCAGTCCTGGTACTTTCGTCTATCCCATATCCTCGCATCTCCTCATTCCCGATCTCAATTCCTAACTTGTATATTTTCGCCTACTCCTGCGATGTGTCCTTCTTAGCGGATTTAGTTGGGCCAATTCACATTCCACACTGATTTTCTCATCCCGTTCTCACTTTGGTGAAGATGTTGATCCAGCCTGGCTCTATCAATCTGTAATCTACATCAGTCTCCCGCATACCTTAAAGGATCTGTCCCTTATCTCTTTAGTTCATTGTTTTTACTTAATCATTGCCAACTTATTCGTGCTACGTGAGGTGTTATCGCTCATTATCTGTCTCAAATTTTAGGTAGCACATAGCCTAGATTCTCTAACTGATTGAAAGATCAGTGTAATACTGCAGTTTCCCTGATCTAAATTTGGCCTGAGGACTGGGTAACTCTCTGGAACGAATCTTTGTTTCATGAATCACATCTATGCTTCAACCCGTGGACTCTGAGCCAATTGTTTTTGGCATCCGCCGCATCTCTCGGGTGGAGTTCTGATCCACTGAGTCTAGTGCTTCTATTCCTATTCCTTCGTCTTTTGTGCGTCAACCTACAAATGTTGTAGCTGTTTACTTTGTTTGATTAAGCTCACAGTAGGCGTATTCTCTGTTTGTCCGTTATGGCCTCTTCCTTGTGATTAATTTTTCTCCTGCTTAAAGTACTTTCTTGATTAAGTCGTCTTCTTTATGCTAATTTTGCTGCTTCCTGATCTCTTCCGAATTTGCTTAAGCACTATGCAAGATTTACGATAATGCTGCCTTCTTTCAGTCCATCGTTGATCAAATTTTTTCAATCAAGGTTCCCCTAGTCTCTAACAGAATTTATCTAAAAGAATTGGTTACTATATTTGTATTGATGTATCTTGCATTTCGTTTGACTAGACGATTGCAAGGGATTCGTAAATTGGTATAATCTAAACTCGAAGGATGGTTGCCTTGAAGCTGTACCTGTAGATATGCACGGACAAGTCCTTGACGCACCTGATGAATCCGTGCTCAACTTTCGTTCGTCATATGACTGACCCTATACTTTAAAAGTATAGAAAGGTATCAGGCTGCAATCCTACTTACAGTCTGAATTTGTCTACTTAGTTTGCTCATGCCTTAGTCGGCTATTCTATTCATTGAAAGTGAAGTGGCTTCGGATGCCGCGTGAAGTGGATGCGATTGTTACAGAATAGACGTATTCTTGCTTAAATCATTTGTATGTTTTCAGCTCACAATATTTTGCGCATCCAAATGTGTTGTATGCCTGCAATACTCACAAGTGGCTTGAGGTTCGAAAGTCTTAGCCAGGCGACTTCATAGCAAGAAAATCGTCTGAACACTGCTGAATACTCACACTGGATCAAGAGGATATAGTAGGTTTGATGTCTACACTGCCGTGATTAATATAGGTTTAGTTAGAGCTTTTGCTGATATAGAATTAATTCACAGATTCATTACGGGCATGTCTATATAGAGGATTGCTATTCCATAATGTTGTATTCGGTACTACAGTTTTGTTGGCCTTGGTGACAGCCTTAATAATCTATATCTCGCGAAATAATTGTTGGACGAGCTGTTGCGAATTATAAATGGGATCCTGCTTTTTGTAGTCGTTAGAAATAAAGTCCAAGGTTGTATGGCCATTTTTCGTCGTGGTATTCCTTCGCCATTTAAAGATGATCTGACCTGTCTTTTCACAAGTCCTTTTTTCATGTACCTTTTTAATAATGTACTTTGTACTGTGTCGTCAGCCTTATAACTGGGCTACAACTCATTATTGAATTAAGAGCACTGCTCGCTGACTATTCTGGTTAAACTTGATTTCGATGCTTTAAGAAAACCGGAAGACAATGACAGGGGAATAAACTTAAAATTAGTCGTGGGAACACAATTTGTTTAAGGAAATCAGGTCAATCTAATCATCAAGTTGACGTATTTAGCTTTATCCATTTTCAACCGGGATTTACATGAGATTTAGACTTTGTGGCTATAAGTGCATCCACAGCATTCATGTGGCATATATGCGGTTTGTTCTTTTTTAAGGATGTTACCAGAAATTTTTTCCTAAAAATATTATCTGACCATTTTAATGGGATGTATATTTATATGCTAAAATAATTTCTGGAATAATAAATACTGTCGTTTCCGGCCACAAAGCAGCGTACTGGCTGTGTTTAATCAAAAAAATTATCATCTTAACGCAGTCATATTATGACTTGAATTTCCATTTCGAAAGAAACGAATTCGTGATATGGTCCCACTGAAAATCAAAGTGGGATTGCTGCGAATGCAAGTCTGTTGTATTGTGCGATGAAGTCCTCGGCTCATCGTCCTGCGACTCCGATGAACCTGTGATAAGTTTTCTTCGAAACCCAGTTTTTCTTCATATATGACGTAGTCATGCCACCTTATACGCATGCCCAAATATTACCTGAGCTTTAAACATTATCATTCTAAGGTTAGCATTTTAAATGGTCTTATACATTTCAACTAGTGGATTATTATTTTATGAAAATACAAGCCCATTTTATTATGATTTCATATTGATTTAATGTTACATTAAGAAGAATCTCCTTATTTATTTACTAAACAGAGTATGTTAAGCGGATGCGCTTCTGTGAGTACTTCTCGCGTTTCTTCTGCTGCGTCTGCCATTCTAACACTTTGATGGTACTGCCTGGGCCCGTGGTGCTCGACGGGAACTTTGCCATGTTGCCTGTCAGTAACTATGCTCGCGACCTTCTTGACCGTTTGCATTGTGTGCCTCTGATTCGGTTATATGAAATTAGTCGGAATGTGCGCGACCGCGAATGGGCCTTACAGGACGCAATTGCAATGCGGGAACAGGCTGGCGCCCTGGTTGCTTTCCTCGGACTCTGTCCCAGCAGTAAGTCCTTCGTATTTAGTCAGGAGAAAGAGGTACCAGATTTTTTGTTGTCCTTGACTAAGATACTGTTTTTCAATCATATCAACTAATCTAGAATATTTATGAACTGATTTTGTCTAATTTCAGTTTCTCCCAATCATCTCTAAGGTGGATGAAACTATGCAAATTGTTCAGACCATTTTAAGGAATATATTATGATGCGTTAATCACAATATCATAAAGATTCCGACGTCTTTAGCATAAAGGTTGTTTGCATCATCTGGGACTTTCTTTCATAATTTTGTGTGTCTTTACCAGGCTATCTCCTTCTAAACCATTTTCGTAAGAATATATACTTGTTTTGTGTTTGATCTTGTTTTCGCAACTTGGTCATATTGGTAGGAAGACTTAAAGGAACGCAACTAGTCCGGAGTCCATTGTATGCATCATCATTTCCAAAGTCTGAACGTGGACATGTTACATTCCCAGACGTCCAAAGAGACTTGTCTCTTTGACGAGTTGTGCGATGCTAAGAAAGGCGAGACTCACTAATGATGTTGACTACGCTGCCGGCGAAACGTTTGAGAATGTACCACGTACACGGTTCGACTTTGGAAATGCTCATGCATACAATGGACTGCGGACTAGGTGCGTTCCTCTAAGTCGTCCTACCAATATTACCAAGTTGCGAAAACAAGATCAAAAAACCTCTTTACAACGAAAGGAGACTGCGGTCACATAAAAGGCCACACCATCTTGGTTTTCACACCTTTGATTATATTTACCATATTTAATTTAAGGTGATAAAGGAGTGATAGTTGAATTTTCCCACATTGCTATGAGTCGACCTCACGTTTCTAGTAAACTCAATATAGACCAGCTTCCCAAGAGGTATTCTAATCCGTTTCGATCTCGCCTAGGTCCGATCAGACCTCCTGCAGAACTCGAATTCCGGCTCTAATTGTGCAGCATATGTTATAGACATGTTAACAGTTAGGCAAAAATGCCACGAGTGCCCTTGGTTCACCGGAAAGAAATGAATTTTAAGTAAGCTTTGACCTTTCCTATATAACAGTTATGTAGTGGGATTGTTGACGAATCCATTTCTATCTTCCAAGGTAATCGACTATATGAAGAAAAACTAGTTTAGAAAAATCCCTTAATTAAATATTGTGGCATAACTCTACATTTCGAAGGAAAAGATGGTTGGAAGGAATTCGTGATGTGGTCTCATCAGAAACCGGGCAGGGAAAACTGTTGAATCGTGCGTAGAAGTCCTCGGCTCACCTTCCTGCGACCCCGATGAAACTGTGCTAAGTTTTGGTATGTACTGTGACAGGCATCGTAGATACGAAGAGAAAGTTGGTTTCGATGAATCTCCTGAGATAACATTTTTAGGGGGACCTTTATTTGAATGAAAGTGCATGAAGAAGAGATTCGTTGGTAGATCTCAACAGATGAGGACTGATGAAACTCGTTGTACTGCAGCCGTTTGGCTTTTATATGATATTTATGTTGACGCAGTCCACGGGACTTCTTCCCTCGTTTCGGGTGAAAACTGGCTAAACTTTCGTCCATCAAATGATGGACATCATCAGAGCTGGGTTTAATTCCTGTAAAAGTCTCACGTTAACACTAAAGCAAGAACACTATCCAGCTCTATCTTACTACTTGTATAGACTCAATCGAGCCAAAAAAATAAAAAATAAAAAACCTAGATATATCGATATAAAGTGGTTTGGTTAATTTTCTTTCATACTGGTCCTGTTTTTTTT